TATCGTGCTCCCCGGCTTTCATCTGCTTTTCCTGATTTTCATAACTGCCACTCTTTAAAAAAAAAAAAAAGAAATCTGCAAAAATCTGCGTCATGGAGCTCTACAGACCAAAATCTATAGTAACAGATCCTTGAGCGGCTCCATAAGGCCTTCCCTGCAATTCCAAGACACAGAAAGTCTTCAAAATTTGGAAACTCAAAAAAAAAAAAAATTTGGAAACTCTTCACAGGTTCTTTGGAAGTGAAATCTGAGCTGACCTAAATCACGCGCTGGGCACCCTCGCAGGGACTCGTGAGGAAACTGATGCAGTCTTTATTTATTGCACTTGACTGTGACTACTCACAGTTTTGCTGCAGACTTGTTCACGTATTTGGTGAAACGAGGCACGCCCCTGACTCTGCTGGTAGCGCGTCACGCGTGGTATGTGGTCCGTATTGCTTTTCTGAAATCTGGAAACATCTGGATTCCGCATTCAGCCACCAGGGTTTCAGGTAAGAGCCGTGGGCCTGCCAGCTGGCCACACCGAGAGGCAGGTGCCTCGTGCGCAGGTGTCGGGCCGGGACCCACAAAGGTCCTCGTTTGCGCGCACGGTGCCTGGGATGGCCCAGACCCCTCTGAGCAGACCGGGCAGACGTCTGTTGACATCGGCTCGTGTTTCCTTTCCTAGGGTCCCCTGGGTCCCAGGCTGGCCCCGCTCGTCCCCAGCTGCAGACGGGCCACGGCCTAGTGTTCCGGGCGTGATCCTTGCCACGCCGCAGCGCCAACCAGGTACTTACAAAAGCACTGTTTTGTCTCGCGTTGTACAAGCCTAAAAGCTCACAAGGTCACCTGCCCTTTATAACCAGCACTTACCTGCTCACCTGGATGGATGACGGGTTGCCCTTTGGGCATCATTGGGGACCGTGGATGTGTTTTGTGGCAAAGCCCAGTGGCTGCGACAGGACATGGATGGGAAACCACATGCTTGGGGTGGGGGTGGGTGTCTAACGCTCCAAGGACTCGGTAGCTGGTGTGGACCTGGCGCCACGGGTAACTTAGTCCACCACTGTGGTTCGAAGACATTCTAATTAAAATGCCTCAGGCCCAGCAATCGCCCTGGAGACCCCCCCCCCCCCCATTCCCACCATAGCCTGTTGCCTCCTGTGATTTTAGGCCTCGGCTACTTTGATGTTAAGCACCAGGCCCCGTCGGCTTGGGCCAGAGCTTTCTCTTGCAGGGGTGGGGGGTGCGGAAGGCAGTGGTAGTGTACACGGTAATAAAATTATTGGGACAAGCCAAAAGCTGTGACTGCCATTTGTCGATTAAATGACACTATTACAACAAGGTCAACAGGCCGGTTTGGGTCCTTGTACTGTGATTAGGAGGAGGGTAGACTTATTTTTCAGAAACGCCCACTGGAGTGTATGGGGGTGAAGGGACAAGGTAAAAAAAAATCCAGACCTACAAAATGGGAATCCCAAAAGTGAAGCCCAGACACAGGCATTTGTAGAAAGTGGGCCGGGGCCTTTTCAGGCGCACTGACCTTTGAGAACCGAGGAAACCTAGCACTGCTTCCCGGGGGTGCTCCGCTCGCTGCAGCCCCGGCCTCACCTGGCATCTCAGACCCCACAAAGACTGGCTGCATCTGGACCCATGTCCCTAATGCGATCCCCGGAGGTCCCTTGCACCTTCAAGTCTGAGAGGCCCTGATCCAGACGTATCGCCCCCGATGGACACTTAGAGGTGGCAGGGCAGTCCTCGCCACGGAGCGGCAACTACAAGCTTAGTCGGATCCGGGGCAGGTCTGGTCCCCGTCCCAAAGACTCACTTAGCATTTCAGTAAAAGCACCTTATGAAATGGGCCTCGATGGTGACACAAAACAGAACAAAAACCTCCTCTTGCCTCAAAACGTGTGAAGCAGAACTGATCTTCCAGGACTGAGGATAAGGCTTCTCTAGTCCCTGTGAAGCCTTCTTTCCCAAAGAATATTCCACTAGCCTAACGGATGCTCCTGGCGCAAAGGACCCCATAACTAAATGAGGAAACACTATCTTTAGGACACTGTAGCTGGAAATGCTATATTTTTGTTTCTCCTCTTAGAAACTGAAGATGTATATTAGTGTATTAAATGCTCTGAGAAGTCCTGCATTGAAAAAAAAAACATCTGACTCTGCCTAGCAGGGTTTTCCAGATGGATTCTTTGGTGGGATTCCTTTTACATCCAGTACCCATTAATATTTTCTAGAACTAATGCTTCAAGGGAAAACCCAAGGGAACATACAACGGAGAACGTATACACAGAGGAAGAACCCAATTCGTGCCATAACTGGAAAGTCAAAAGGAGACGGAATGGCAGCTGTGAAGCGCATCTAAAAATATTGACACCAGGCCTCGGCACAGGGGAACTGGCTTCCATTCTCTGCTGGGAAGCCACCATGGGGATGCAGGGGCTCCTTGGGTCCTGAACAGAAAGGACACGGTGGTCCTGGTCTGCATTGGAGTGAGGAATTGAGATGATGGGTGAGCTCCCGGGAGAGCCATCTCCCAGCATCCCTGTCCTTCAGCGCCACCCACTCCACCACTGAACCCTACTCTCCTTCTCAACGTCCCACACCCCCTGCATCCTCTGCCCCCACCCTGACTCCAGCTGACTGGTCTATTAACCAGTGTCCCTACTCTGACCCTTTGCCCCCTCCTGTGCCACCCACAGTGCAGCACCCTGTTTAAAATCTTTCCAGAGCCTCCCTGTGCCAGGAAGATGCCACAGGTCTGGCATGGCATTTTCCAGCTGGCTCATCCTCGTTGCCCCCTCCCCCCCTTCTCCAGATCCCCGTGCAAGACTCCTCTCCTCCGGGAAGCCTTCCTTGGTTTGAGAGTCTAGGTCAGGGCTAGTCCAAGCGCAGGCCACAGTGCAGTGCCAGTTCACGAGCTCTCTGCAATGAAATAAATGCACAACTTGAGAAGCACCTAGAAGCTTCTCTAGAATTTTCCTGTTACTGTGGGGTCCAAGCACGCAATCGGTGGACTGATCCCGCTGAAGAGGATAAAGACCAGGCCAAGTGTCCCCTAAGTCATGTGGTGAGTCGCTTATGACACCAAGTGCCACCGCTTTGGGTCCATGACAGGATAGAGAGGGGAGCCGACCCTCCGGCCTGCAGGGATCGAGAAGGCTGGTCTAGACCACGATGCTTTTCCCCACACACTCGCGGTACCGAGCTCCTTCCTCTCAAAGCCTTTATCACAAATGGTAATTTTACGTAGATGGTTCTGTTCTGTCCGACACCGTGTCTTGCATGGACAGCTCGCTTCACGAGGGCGGGTGCCTTGCCCCCACGTCCAGGCCCGGCACACCTGGCACGTGAGCTCCCCTGACGGGTCCCACCACTAAGGCCCAAGAGTGGGGCGCGGGGATCTTAGATGTATCCCCTGCTTCCCGACCCCTGTGCCTCCTGAGTCGCCGACAGCTACGTGCGAGGACAGGCAAGGGGCAGGGAGGTATCGACAGGGGACAAGGGACTAATAATTCTGTGTTGTGACCCCCACCGCACCCCTGCTGTTGGGTTTCGATGGCACGAGGACCACAAAATGCAGAGCGGACCGTGTTGTTTTGATGGGTAGAGAGGGACGTACTGTCTTGGGTAACTCAGATCTGGAACATTCCACGGCCACACATCGCAGGTGTGTTGTTCGATGTCCATATGTCCCTCTGAGTAAGATCAGAAAACATCAGAAAATGCCTTTGCCCTTGGGGGCTGGCCTGGCCAGTGGGACCTGTGCCTCGGGAGCTGCTGTGACCCTGATGGCTTGACTTCTGGCACCTTCCTCCCTCATAGGTTATCGGAATCGAACACCCCTGACTCATCAGGGTTTCTTTATTTTTTTTTTAGATTATTTATTTATTCATGAGATACATAGAGAGAGGGAGAGGGAGGCAGAGACACAGGCAGAGGGAGAAGCAGGCTCCATGCAGGGAGCCCTATGTGGGACTCGATCCCAGGTCCCCAGGATCACACTCTGGGCCGAAGGTGGCACTAAACCGCTGAGTCCCCCAGGCTGCCCTCATCAGGGTTTCAAAGGCTGCAGCTAACCAGTTTAATTCAAGGGGATTATTCCAAAACAGCTCAGGACGTGTGGACGCTGGGCCCCCTACCTGTTCCCGCCAAATAAGCATCAGAGGCGGCTGGGATCTCCAACTTTCTCCAGGAAAGGGAAGAGATTTCAATATAAAAGAGCAGCAGCTGGTGTCAGACAGGCCCAGCCTCCACCCGGGCAGAGGTGCCTAGTGCCCCTGGGAGGCTTTTATCTCCTCATAGGCCAGAAAATGAGGATTTGAGCAGGTGAGCTCTCCAGGCCCCTCCAGCTCTGACCTGCTCTGCCTGTGCTCTCAGAGGCCTCTTCTAGCTCTGAAATTGGGGGACTGAATAATTCAAATTCCTCTCTGCCACGAGCATCAGGAAGGCCAAAGCGCTCTGGCTCTGCTCCCTCGTCTCAATCTGGTGCTGAACCAGGTGGCAAAGGTTCTTTTTGGATGAAGGACTTCCCACCTGCTACTCACTGAGTCTCAACTTCCCTCTGAAAAGTCTGTGGCACAACCTCAGGCCGGGTATTATGAAAACAAAATTATTTACAGCATGCTGTGACTCCGAGAGCTCAGGCTAGTTCCATAAATGGAAGCGTCTATACTACTATTATCACCCAGAACAGTGTGCCTGGGAAAACGGTTCTAGGATCAAATACATTAGTACTGTACTCAGTACCCTCTTGTTGATGTAGCACCTTGCACGCCCTGCACCGGAGAAATTTTTGCTCGCCTTGGCATTTCTCAGCATTTAAGCACCGAAGTCTATTTTTTGTTCCTCTGACACATTTAGTATCATTTTCCAAACCAGGGCTCCACGAAACCTATGGAGGAAATGCTGGTCTAAGCATCACCTTCCACTTGGTAGATGCAGTAGAATTCCACTTCTGCTTGGAAGAATTTGCCTTCCTTCAAAATGCAAATTCTTTTTTTTTTTTTAAGATTTTACTTATTTATTCATGAGAGACCCAGAGAGAGAGGCAGAGACACAGGCAGAGGGAGAAGCAGGCTCCAGGCAGGGAGCCCGACGTGGGACTTGATCCCAGGACCCTGGGATCACGACCTGAGCCAAAGGCAGGCGCTCAACTGCTGAGCCACCCAGGTGCCCCACCTCAGATTTGCTGAATCCGAATCTTTGGAGATGGAGTCCAAAAATATCAGTTTTCCCAAGTCCTCCACGCAGTGATGTACTGGGGCTGGTAAGTACCAACTTACAATAGCACAGTGTTAAATCTCAGGAATTTTAAGAATTTGTGAGGCAATTGATGCCACCTTGACAGATTGAAATTTGCCTTGGGAAAAGTATTTTCACCAGGAAAACCTGCAAATGCTGTAATTCCGGGCTGTTTTTTCCCTCTCTCTCTCTCTCCCAGACCATTGAGGGTTGAACACTTAACCTCAGGTCGCTGCCTCCAGGGGATCCTTTTGCACAGCACAGTGTGAGAACCAGTGTACTGCAAATACGTGCTAGGGCCACTGGGTAGCGTGTGTCCAAATTATGTTGAGGCTTTCAACGCTAGCTTTACCAGGTTTTTATTTTATTTTATTTTATTTTATTTTATTTTATTTTATTTTATTTTATTTTATTTTTACCAGGTTTTTAGATAGTTCTTAAAAATCACAACAAAACTTGGCATGCAAAAGGAAGTCCTGTGTCTTTTCCTTAAAGTAGTCAGGAATTATCTAGGGATCAGAATAAGTAAGAGGGAGTTTTTGCTCTTTCAGACTTTGTAAATTGAGGCATGAAATGCTCAGTCATCATGCTGACCGATACAACTCGATTACTAAGAGATGAGACCATAATCCGGAGGAGGAAAAAAATATCTAGAGGTATAAAAATATTCCCAGAAAATATTGAAAATATTCAATAGATGGGCACTTTTTCTTTTTTTTAAATAATAAATTTATTTTTTATTGGTGTTCAATTTGCCAACATACAGAATAACACCCAGTGCTCATCCCGTCACGTGCCCTCCTCAGTGCCCGTCACCCATTTTATAAACTCCCCTTCACCACATTTCAGACTGAAAGGCTGAAAGTCCCCCACCTGTTGAGACTCATCCCTGGTCTCCTTTGTCCCTGGAGTGCCTTGGTAAGGGACTGGTATGGCAAGTTCTTTGTTTCTTCAAAGGGGACGCCTTTGACAGATCCAGCGACAGGCCCATTTCACGTCTGAGAGTAAACACAGAACCCAGGGTGATCTCTCCCTCATTCCTCTGGTTCAGGCGAAGTGCGAGATCCAATGACAGAACCAGAAAGAACATTGTGACACTGAACGGTTTGAGCTTCCCCTTGACATTTCTATTGCCCCTGAACATGGACAACCTCAAGGTGACTGCGGGACTCCATACAGTTTTGCTTGAACAGCTTCTCTGGCATAAACACACCCCAATGGGCGTCACACCCCCAGTCATGAGGACCTTGACCCGCCACCAGCAAGCATTGAATCCTTGTGAATCCAGCAGCTCGTGCTGGCAGCCAAACACAAGGACATCGCCTATCTCGCCTGTAAAACGCCAAGTGGTGTACGCTTCAGACAGAAATCTCTCCTCTCCCCCCAGGCCTGTGACTTCCTGACAGCCCCCAAATACACCCGAGGCAAGGTGGCGCCCAAGGAGATGGGGGTGAGTCCCATGTTTACTGACCACTTCACACTTGCCAGGCTCTGCCCAGGCATGTCGCATGTTCTCCTAAGCAGTCTCTACAACAGATCTAGGGGAGTATTTGCCTGGTCCATTCTTTCCCTGTCCTTTTAAACTGAGGGTCGAATCAAATGCCTTGGAGGCCAGACAAGTTAGTAAGGCAAATAGACAAAATGAACAAGGTGAAAGAGTAGAAACACAACTAAAACTGGTGACTTCTTGGGAGAGAAGAGACAGAGGGCAATGGCAGTGACTATGACGAAGTCTGATTTTCCTGCCAATACTTGAATTTTTTTAAAATAGCCAAGTGATTCGGTTAAAAAAAAAAAAAGACAAAGCTCTGTGGGCTGAACAAAACACACACATATATATATATATATATATATATATATATATATATATATATATGGGCTGGAGCCGCCATTTTGCATCATCTTCTTTAGGCACAGTCCACCCCATCACCTACTGCTTCCCAGAGACCTAGAGTAAGAGCTGCAGGATGAGCTGGTTCTAGGCAGTGGTGCCCAACCCTTCATATTTACAGCCCATGCTCTGGCTTTGTGTTTTTATGCACTTCTGGTTCTGGAGCAGTGCTCTGGCTCTGGATCCCTCCATTTCGATGCACTTCCTTCTCTCTTACCCTTTAGGACAAGGTCTACTCACTCATTCTCAGCCCAGAGCTCTATCTGTTATCATCCCATAGTCAAGGGAAAAACTTTCCTAGTCCGCCCCCTGGCCTTATAGACTCTACCCTTTAAATCTAAAGTTAGGCTGGAGTGGCGTGGGAAGGATATCCTGGAGGAAAAATTAAGTTATCCTCATTCATGAATGAGGAATATGAGGTCTACTTGGGTCAGGTAATTTGGCTAGTAAGTAACATGGAGGCAATTTGGATCCAGATTTACTCCTCCTCCAAAATCCTCAGAGTCTCCCTTTTGCACTAAAAGGGCTCTGAACTGAACAGGAACTTCTAGGAGACCTGGGATGATATGTTTCATCTTGAAATTCTATAGAAATGTCGCTTTCTGTTCCACAATATATTTGTATTTTGAAATATATATTTGTATGTTTGTTTTTGAATGCAAATTTCAAAATACAAGTTTTTGAAAGAGAGAGAGTATGCACAAGTCGGGGGGAGGGACAGAGGGAAAAAGAGAATCTCAAGCAGGCTCCATGCCCAGCATAGAGCCTTATGCAGGACTCGATCTCACAACCCTGAGATCATGACCTGAGCTGAAATCTAGAGTCAGATGCTTAACTGACTCAGCCACTCAGGCGCCCCTATTTGTATTTGTTTTAATAAAGAATCTGGTATTTTTCCTCCAGGTAAAAATAATGGTTCAGAAATACTTGCTCTACCATTATAAGACTTCTTATTCTCCAGACTCCCAACCACACCTCCAGGGGCTCATGCACACCTGTCACATCAAGGCCATCAATACTTCCATCCTCTTCTTCTATCAGTATCCCCCAGGCTCCCCCAACCCAGCCTGCCAACAATCACCCCCTTGTCAGAAGGGGAACTTTCAAATTGGGGCTCATGAAACTTCTAAAAACATAGATCAATAAAATAATTCATTGATTCTTTTATCCTTAATAAAACAGCTGAAAACCTCTAAATGCAAATTAAGTAAGTTTTCATTTAACTGATTTTTCAGATCAGATACGTGAGCTCAAGGCTCACTTAAGCTATTTTGTCAGCAGACGGTAGGGTGACTAGCCCTCGCCACAGTGGTGGATTTGACCACTATACAGTTTTACAGTGTGTTTATTTTTTTGTCACTTATCTCTTACCCATAATGGACCATTGGTTAAAGAAAAAAAGCATTGAAACTAAAATCAATGTGGAGCCATAACTTTGAATTACATTCAGCAAATTCATCACATGGTTCTTTTCATCAGGTTTAGAGGTCATGTGCATCTGATCAAAATGTTACATACTGCATCAAGATGTTTTTAGCATTTTTTTAAAAAATCAATGTTAAAAAAACAACAACTTTCACACCCCTATTTGACTTTAAATTTAATGGGAATAGAGACTTTGTACACTGAAATATTCTATTTGCAGATATGTGCTTAAAAATAACAGCCTAACAGTTTCTGTCCTGTCATATAATTAAGGTGAGAAAATAAATTCATTTAAACATTTACCAGTTAACTTTTGTGGCTCAAATGTTAAGAATGTGAGCATGAGGTTTTGAAAAAAATTTTTCATCTATTTTCATGAAATTTTAAGTTTCAATCTACATTTTAAAGTTTACTCCTCGAACAAAATATGTCATATTAAAATATATTTTAACAGGGATCCCTGGGTGGCGCAGCGGTTTGGCGCCTGCCTTTGGCCCAGGGCGCGATCCTGGAGACCCGAGATCGAATCCCACATCGGGCTCCCGGTGCATGGAGCCTGCTTCTCCCTCTGCCTGTGTCTCTGCCTCTCTCTCTCTCTCTGTGACTATCATAAATAAATAAAAAAAAATAAAATAAAATATATTTTAACATATTATACTTTTATTTAAAGAAAATTAGGGACACCACCCAGGTGCTCAATTAGCTGAGTGTCCATCTCACTCTTGATTTCAGCTCAGGTCATGATCTCAGGATCCCAGGATAAGCCCTGAATTGGGCTCTGTGCTCAGCAGAGAGTCTGCTTGAGGATAGTTTCTCTCCCTCTGCCCCTTCCCTAACTTGTGTGCACGTGCTCTTTCACTCTCTGAAATAAATCTTTAAAATTAATAGTTAAATAGCTTTTATCATTTTTATTTATTAAATTTGAAAAATAAAATTTATCTTTACATAGTTGAGCATTATGACATTCAAAATTAACTTCAAAAATATATTTAAGATGATTTTCTTTCAGAAAACTACTTTTTATCATATGCTACATGGAGAACTTTTTAAAGGAAGTGTTTAAGTTTTTGAATTAATTCAAAAATGGTCTGGAACTTGGAAACATTTTGCTAATTCTGCTTTCATGTAAATTCATGTCATATGAAGCATATATTCTTTAAAGCTTGCTGCATTGGAATAAGAACCCAAAGAAATGATTCCCAAGTTGTAGAGCATCCAACCCATAATAGGGAAATATTTGGGGACAGTGAAACCCTTTATCAAAGTCTTTTAATCTAACTATGTAGGTAAATGTCTACTTGCCAATCTATACAAATTATTATATTTTTTTAGGATGTTAACTAAAGTCTCACTAAAGTACCCATATTACAGATATAGGATGTTGACACACTGTAAGTGTACAGAATTTATAAAGGAAATAATTTTTTAAGATTTATTTATTTGAGACAGTGCAGAGAGAGAGCACAAGTGGGGAGGGAGGAGCAGAGGGAGAGGGAGAAGCAGACTCCCCACTGAGCAGGGACCCAGCATGGGGCTTGACCCCAGCACCCTGAGATCATGACCCAAGCCAAAGGCAGATGCTTATTGACTGAGCCATCCAGGTGCCCCTAAAGTTGTATCTAAAACCAAATTAAAGAAATATAAATCCATGTATAAAAAGTTTAGATGCTCAGCTAGATTAAAGATATGCAAAGGTAAAAGACTGACGCAGAAGTTAGAGAGCTATTGATAACCCGTGAGTCCCTAGCCCCTCCTCTACCCACAAGACTCTGCCTTAAGCCTGAAAAAGTCTGGGAATAGGTCACTTGTTCTTCTACAGTGAAAAGCAAGGGATGTACAAGTGTTTACCTTAAACAGATGTGGACCATGGGAGAAAGCCAAAGTAAGGTCAGCAATAGGACTTTCCAGAGTGCTGGAAGAAAACAGCAACAAGTTGGATGAGAAAGTTGGTTGTCTACTATTCTAGAAGGAGTTGAAAATGACTACCCAAAACTAGACAAGGCAGTCAGCAAACATGTTTTGGAAAAGGTTAGATAGTAAACGATGTAGGTTTCTAGGGCTGCATGATGTATGTCACGACTACTCAACTCTCTGTAGCATGAAAACAGGAATAAATAAGCCATAAACAGATTTGTAGGGCTCTGTCCCGCTAGAACTTTATTAACAAAAACAGGTCGCATGCTGGATGTGGCCCACAGCTATACCTCCCGGCTGTTCTCTAGACTCATCAGCCTGGCACGGGAAGAAGAGGAAAGGAGGGCAGAGCCTGGAAATACTTTCTGGAAATACCCAGAAAGGTCCAAGCTTTGGAATGCATGCCCGTGGAATGCAAAGCCAGCTTACACAACCAGCATCCCACTTGAGAACCTTCCTCACTCCTCACTTTTCTTCCTTCCCCTGACTCCTACCCTAGAGATGTAGGAAGCCAGCAAGCTGGGGAGGGAGAGAAGGAAAAGCTCAAGGAAGGGAAATAAAGAAGCAGTAGCAGCCACCCTTTCCTCCCTGCAAGCTGCCAGCCTGAGGAAGACGGAGCTGAGAAAGAAGAGAATATTTGAATTAAATCCAATTAAGAGATCTTGGGCCAAACACACTTCATTTCGAACTTAAAATGACAACAGACCTGTTTACCTAAGGATCAGAAAAGTCATGGGTTTGAGAAAGAGGAAAATACGTGTTGACTAAATCACACATGCTTCCAAACTACTAGTGACATACACAATCACAGAGTCAAGTATTTTCTTCTCTTAGCCAAAGACCCCAGCTCTTCTGGAGAAACAAGTGGTGACATCATCCACCTCAATCGCTTTTTGCAAACTCTCAACACAACAAACTCACCAGGAGGGCCACTCAGCAGTGGGAACATTATTGACTCATTGTCATATCCAGTTTCTCCAATTGTCCAAAATAGATATTTGATTATAGAAGAAAATTGGGGATTCTTTTGTCCTTCAATAAATGGCATGACTAATTTATGTCTTCCTTCGAGTAATGTGTGCACATCCATTCAGATACTTTTAATTCTCCTACGGGGTCATGTTTCTAAGGGCCCTTCTGCCTTCCCAAGGGCTGCTGGAAAGCTTATTGGTGGCCTGCAATTCAGAGCAAATGGCTAATTATAGGGGGTGCTGATCAGTTCATTAGTGGCTCTTGAACTGCTGCCTGCAGAATGCCAGCCGAATCAGCAATTTTTCTTCCTCTAGGCTGAGTGGGGCCCCTGGAGCATTTGCAGGGATCAGCGGAAAGCTTGATTCAGTTTCAACTCCTCGACTAGGAAAGACAACAGTATGAGAATCCCGTCTGACTTTTGTTCAAGATATAGAAGAAATTTTTGTTTGTTTTGTTTTCCATATTCTGAGCTAAAAGGGTTCTTGAAACAAATGGCATCATCCTTTATTGATCTTAACGCCTCCATGCTAAGACTATTGTAACATAGCTTATCAAATCCATACTTAGTCCGTGGTTTCCCAAATGTGCAACTCCCCTTTGTTGTCTCCAGCTACTACCACTCAGACACACTTTTCTTGATAATGATGTAATACTATTATGGCATTTTCCAGGATTTTGCTTTATGCTTAATCTCAGTGGGGTTCTCTTCTTAACCCATGAGCTGCTACCAGGGAGAATGGATGTGTGTCTGTCTCCTAATTTGTACAGCTTTCAGTGTGGTGTAATATGTATCATACTGGATAATTTTTCTTCTTTTAAAATTCCATCACAATCACTCCCCCCAAAAAAATGGTGGTGTGGAAAAAATAGAGTGGAGGTTCATGGTTATATGAATCTTGGTTAAGGGATCCCTGGGTGGCGCAGCGGTTTGGCACCTGCCTTTGGCCCAGGGCGCGATCCTGGAGACCCGGGATCGAATCCCACGTCGGGCTCCCGGTGCATGGAACCTGCTTCTCCCTCTGCCTGTGTCTCAGCCTCTCTCTCTCTCTCTCTGTGTGACTATCATAAAAATAAAAATAAAAAAAAATGAATCTTGGTTAACTGCCAAGTCCAATGATCATTTTATTTTTGAGAACTTTTTATATAGGCAATAGCAATTGTTTATCTAAAGTTAGTAGTGAATTGGGTCTCTAAGTCCTCTTTTGCTTCCTCTTTTCAGCAACTCATTGTCATGAAGAACAAAAGACTCTCTTCATCAAAGTTGAACTTTTGTCTTCAAAAGGGTGGATTATGTGGAAGACTGTCGGAGTGCTACTTTCAGGTTTGAGTTATAAATACCATTTTTAATGAAAGGAAAATTAGGTAAATATTCAGCTTGAGAACATTTCTGTTCTCATTTTCATTCAACAAATATTTAGGGAGAGTTCACCACGTTTGAGAAAATGTCCTAGGTACCAGGATATGCCAGAGAAAGAGGCAAGGCCAAGGACATTATCAGAGGCGATCAATGTCATGCAAGGGTGTAAAGCAGGAGGATGTAAGAGAGTGACCTTGTCGTAAATTTGGATTGAGTGGTCTAGGAAAGACCTCTCTGTGAAGGTAAATTAAAGTTGATCTGAGTGATGAGAAACAGTCATGAAAAGATCAAGGAAGAGCAAACACATTCTAGAGAAAAATGCTAATACAAAGCACCTACAGTAGGAACCAATTTCAGCGAGCCAAAAGAAGCTTAGTATGGCTCAAGAGTTGTTGCTGATATGAAGCTAAGAGTTGAGCCAGGGAAGGAGGGAGGGGTCATGAAATGAGAGCTTCCCAAGAAGGGTTAAAGATTGGATTTTTTCCAAGTTTTAGAAGAAGTCAGACAAGGAGGGCGTTTAAGTCAGGAAAATAACATGACCATAATCTGATCTAGATGCTTTAATATTTTTGGGGGGCTGCAATAGGAAGAATGGATTATAAGAAGATAAGAATAGAAAATTAAGGGGCGCCCAGGTTGCTCAGTCGGTTAAGTATCTGACTCAATCTCAGCTTAAGTCTTGTTGTCAGGGTCGTGAGCTTGGGCCCCACATTGAGCTCCATGCTGGGCATGGAGCCTATTTAATTAAAAAATCTTTTTAAAGGATAGAAAACTAATATGGAAACTATTCTAGTCCTCCAGGCAAGAGGTGATGGTGTCTTGGATTAGGGTGGTAGTAAAGATGTAGAAAAGTGGGAGAATGCAGGATAGACTTTGAAGTAGAGTTGGTAGGCCTTGCTGAGGGATAAATGTTGGCATAAAGGCAGTAGAAGAAATAAGAATAATGCCTAGATTTTTGTCTTGTGCAACTGGGTGGTGTGGTGGCAACGCTTACTGAAATGGGGCCTAAGGACTAGGAGCAGAATAAGGAGGTCAGCAGAGAATAAAAGCCATTTTAGTGATGTTAAGTTTAAAATAGCATCTGGAAACCCATCCATAGGTGCCAGAGAGGCACGTAGATTTGGGGACATCCATGCTGGAAGTAAGTATATAGAGGTTATCATAATAGAAAGAGTATTTGATACCATGAGGACAGTTGAAGTCACTAAATGAAAAAAAGAAAGAAAGTGAAGAAATCCAAGGCCCAAGGGCCTGGGATAGTCCTTTATTTAGAATAGAAAGAAAGAAGATTCATAAAGGAAAGGCAGCCAGCAGAGTAAGAGAAAAACCAAGCACATGTGGTGCCATAAAAGCCAGGAGAAGGAACTGTTCTGTAAGGAAAGAGTAGCCAATCGTACCTAAAGCTGTGGAGATGCCAAGTGAGTAAGGGAAGAAGTATGACCATCGTCATCAGCAGGCAGCACAGAAGGCTTTAGTGAGCAGTTCAAGAACAGCCTTAATGGAGAGGGCAGGTCAGCTCAGCGAAGTGGGGATGAAGCCCATCACTGCAGAAAAGTCACTTAGGACATTTCACTGAAACAAGGAACAGAGTAATAAGGAAATAATGGAGGGTAACTTTTTTTTCCCAACAAATATTTATTGGTCAAGTGCTAAGTGTAAGGCACTGTGCTGAGTACTGCTGGGGGACAGAAGATAAATACTGGGTAATGCATGTTCTAAAAAGTCTCACAACAGACAGTAGAGCATCAGGAGAGTTATCGGTAGTCACGTATATTCGTTATCGATTGCCATGCGATAACGCTACCTAACAAACTGCCCCCAAACTCAAACATGGTAAGCATTTATTCTTGTTCATAAGCCAGCTGAAGGGTTCTGCTGATCCAGGTCTGACTCAGTCTGGGCTGGGTTTGCTCCCATGTCCTTCTGGTACCAAGAACTTGGTGAGCAGGAGAGTCACACAACCGTGAGGCTGGCGTTGACCACCAGTTCAGAAGAAGACCACCTGCCAAAGAAGAGAATGAGGGCCTCACCCAAAGAGGGACAGAGAGAACTATTGAAGGGTCTAAATAACACCACTGAGCCTGAATCCAAACATGCCTGATGTCTTCCATCCTGAACTTCCTAGTAATGTAAATCCAAAACGACTCCTTTATATTGAATATAATCTGCATTGGGCTCTGTCAGTTGCAACCCAAAAAGTTCTGGCTAATACATCCACATTCAAATTCTTAGACCTTTAAAAATATAAATATAAATAAATATAAATATAAATATAAATATAAATATATATATATCCACTGATGATTTAATCAAAGAGATTTCTTTTTAAGGGGGATTTAGGAAGATTCATTCTCATAGACTGGTTGGGAGAGATAAGAACCTACTGAAAGGAAGTCGAGCTGGCAGGAATTTCATAATTTAACTCCTGAGGATAAAAAGGAGAATCCCATTTCCCTGCCCACTAGCTGATAGTCAGTTGGTCCACACCAGTATGCACCGGGCCGGTTGTTTAATGCAGGCGTCCATTCTGATAAGGAACATCCACATTTTCTGATTGTTCATATCTAGATTATCACCCCTGCCCATCCCTGTGCTGCAGTATATTTTCAATAAAGTGAAATTGCTTCGAAACATTTTAGAATTCGGTTTTCTGTCTGCCTGTGATGTGTGACCTCAATTATCTTCACCTTGGATATCAAGATGCAACAGAAATAAATTTGCCTGCAGCCTGGATGAACTGGCTCCCCACGAGAGGGACTTACTTCACTTGCTCTTCTCCTTTGACCAAGTCGTGCTGAAAGAATCAGAACAGACTTGGGCAGAATGCAAATGGCAGTAACATCCATACTGTCAAAGACACAGACAGGAGGCTGACCCCTGGCCACACGGTGCCAGAAGCAGACAGGCAGGAAGGAAGCCAGGGAGAAATAGAGGTATGAAAACCTACAAATTATGTTGGCAAAGCTACATTTACTCAGTGTGCCATGAGCAAACTTGTGTTACCAACAAAATCCAGAGGGTCGGGGCCTCTGGAATAGGCCGCTCCCCACCTCGAAACACCCATCCCATCCATTGGCTACTGTTCAAATTTCCACCACACAAACTTAATTCTTTGATCTAAGGAAATAATCAAGCAAATGGGCAGTTATTGAAACTTTATTTATAATAGCAGTCATTCGAAAACAATCTCTCTGCCCAGAGCTTCCTCTGACTACCCACATAAATTATGATGTGCCCATACAATGGGATAAGATAATCCCATTAAGCCAAAACTGGGTCACATGCCACTCCTACCTACCGAAGAGTCTGGGGATGAAAAGACTTTTAGTTGAGGATGTTAACATTTTGAACAAAGTCTTCATCAGAAAGAAGAATGGATATTCATAAGCAAGTTGCCATATCTACCATATAACTGAAATATGAGATTGTTCAAGTAATGAACAGATTGGCCCCTGGATGGAATACTCTGAAGCTGTCCGTATCTATTAGGAATGATGAAGTAGGAAATTGTACAGTAAATGTGCTGGGCATTTTTAATGAAAACAAGCTGAAGAACGTAAATAATGCGATCATGAGTATGTGTACGTGCATGCATCTATGTATCTCCTTATACGTGCACACAAAATTTATGGAACAGCACATAAGAAAGCGTTATCAGTAGCTATGTCTGGAAAATGAGACTGAAAAAGAGTGTGACATTTTCACTTAAATCCATAGTATATCTTTTTTTAAAAGAAGTGCGAGCATGCACAGGGGGGAGTGGCAGAGGCAAAGGGAGAGAGAAATTCAAGCAGATTCCGAGCCTAGCAAGGAGTCAGAGGCGGGGCTCCATCTCAGGACCCTGAGATCGGACCTGAGCAGAAACCAAGAGTCAGAGGCTTAACCAAGTGCACCCCCCAGGCATCCCTAAATCCGTAGAATTTCTTTTGCGACTGGAATCGTAGCATGTTTTAGGATGAAAATACTCAGTTCTAATCTGGTAACTTGCTTCCAGATAGGTCTACCGATAACAGCATCCTGGGCAAATCTGCCTCAACCCTGTCCTCTGAGATCATCAGCAAGAAGTGTGTTTACCAGGATTCCAGTTCTGCAAAGGAGGTTCCTCAAAAGAAGGAAGCATCCACCCACCTGAGAGACTCTGTGTCAGAGAGAACCCAGAGCTTGGACGGCAGCATACTCGCTTCTCTCCATGTCACCTTGCGCTCTAAGGTAAGGAATACACTCCTGTTTCTAAATTCACTTTGATGAGTTGATTTATTTGTAATCACCCCGATCAAAGTCCTTCTTTGTATTGAAGTTAAAATCTTCTATGCAGCCTATAATTCTCCTTCCCTTGGGCTGGTAGAAAGTTGGCCACCATCCTCCTCGCGTTGTCATGGAAAACTGGAATGCTTCATGATAGCTAAAAAGAATTAAATAGGTATATCCAGGATTCAGAAAAGTAAATCATAGCAAGTCAGACAAAGAGTTAAAATTTCTTTTTATTTTGTGTTAACGGTTTGTGAGACTTTTGCCCTCTGCTCCTTGATACCACTGTAGCTGCATCACATAAAAATCATCTCCTTCTCTGCCACACTGATATTTGAATATATTTATGCCTTGAGAAGCATCTGAAAAGATGCACAGTGTCTCTGCAAAGACCACCCTCAAAACTATATTCCCATAGATTATGTTTCCATATGACTTCACCCCCACAGACTTTTAAGTCAACCATTCCAATCCTCTTAGCCCATGGGCATGGTCCCCTCTTCACATTTTCTTTTAAGTCAACCATGCCAATCCTCTTAACCCATGGACAGGGTCCCCTCTTCACATCTTCCCATCATTTTTCTCCAAAGCCTACTCTATCTCACCAGCACCCTTAAAATATGATGCCCCAAAATTCGCTACAGCACTCCAATGAGGTAGTGTTTTAAAAGGCCCAAATGTATGGCCCCATTTTCTCTCTCCTTTTCAGGACACCTCCTACTTATTTGTATGGATGTCTGTCCTGGAACAAAAGGAAAGCACTGAAAAATCAAATTAATTGGTGTTACTGAGCCTCTCCACTAACGACTCACGTGGATTGATCAACATGCCGAAGTGCAGATACTGAAAGAATCTGCTCCAGAGAACATCCAAGCATGACCCAACACCTCCTACAGACAAAATCCAGGCTGGAACCAGCCAGCAAGATTGAGCTTGCTGCTGGGATTGTCCCAGGCCCTGAAGAGAACTGAACAGTGGTCTGGTGAAATTTCTAGCATATTTTGAAAGGAAATGTTTTGTCCAGATATACATAGTTGGATTTGAATAACGCATATATGATAGGACTCCACCGATGGTAGTCCCAGAACCGGAAGTGTATTGAGGGTTTGGAGAGAAACTAGGAAAGAATAAGCATTGAATAAATACAGGGTAAAACATGCTTTGTATCTTTCACATGTAGATGGAAATTTTTATTTGGTTATAAAGAAAAAGTTTCTGATTCTTGGGCAAAAAATAATAAGAAATTATTCCGATTATGAGTCTTTCCCTGAAAAACATTTATATAAGATTTCTTTATATAAGATTTCTCTGATAGGCAAAGAAAGGTATACAGTAGATCAGTGTAGACAGCGTATACAGTAGATCAGTGGTCCCTAAATCCACTTGATTAACAGAATCAGTACGGAAGAATTTTAGATGCAGGTTTCAGACTTAATGAATCAGAATCCTGAGAGAGAACCAGGAAAGTTATTTATAAATCTGAAGATCTAAATCTACATCTGTTTCGGGTGGTTGTCCAGGTTTGGGAGCCATTGTGAGGATGACATCCTGTTGCACCTTCCAGAGGTAAAATCAAACTTTTTGTCCTCTGAGGCTGGTCCGTAGTTGTAGTTTTTTGTCTTGTTATATTGAACTTTTAAATAATAATCCCTGCTTTTGTTCAAGATTAGTGTCATACACTAGCATGATACACATGTTAGCCCCACTTATCACAATTCTTCATTCTCTGAGAACTTCCCAGTCTATAGGAAGGCACCCAGTAGACTTTTTTATAATGATACAACCAAATCCCCTGGCCTCTGTTTAGTGGAATGAGAATGTTCCAAGAAGAGCAAGTCGGAAGCCCAGCCCCCTAGAAATATGAAATCAGGAGCTAGAGTGAAAGTTAGTCTTTCAGTGTGGCTAGACCTTGTTGACTTGGAAATGGCTGGCTGACATCTTCCACTGGACGGAGACACAGGAAGGGCTTTTCCCCCAAGAAAGAAGACAACAGAGGCACAGAAAGAAGCAAGAGACCAGCAAGAGTACTCTCCGGATCTCCAACAGGCTTCCAGCACCTATTACGACCTTCCCAAGGCCATCATTGCTTTCTAGCCCTCGGGTCCCATGAGCCACCCTTCCTCCTTCTAATTATTTTTGTTATTTAAAAGCTACCTCAAGATGTCACTTGCAGCAAGTGATCTACCAATGTGCCTACTTCCACCTGATAATGAATGACATATTCTCCAGGCAAGAGAGGTTCCGTGTCCCTCCCCACCATAGTGACCAAAGTCATTCTTTTCCCAAGTGTAACAGTTCAGAGGACATATGACAACTTCCTTTATATTTGATGATCTCTATACACTATGCATCTGTGAACACTGATATGATGGGGAAAAAAATCTATGTTCTTTATTAATATGGGGAAAAAGTGCCTAAACATGGTCTGGGACCAAATCATTTTGTAAGATTATTTACAACCTTCTTCTGGGAAAAAAAATGACCATTCCTGAATAAAAATGCTTCAACAATTTTCTGATAAACTTTCATAATAGCTTAAGATCTCCTCTGGGAACTTGCTACCCATCCTTAGAGTCATCTGTCAGGAATCAAATGGTATTTAACCAGACATTGCTTTTTATTCAATCCCATCAAAGACTCTCTAGCCCATTCTCTTTTCCTATAAAACATTCTTACCAAAAGAATATCTTTGAATTGGTAAGGTATTTTTCCTTGCAGCAGGTGTGAAATGAAATTTAACAGCCGCTCATAGAAAAATCATCTGAAAATTTTTTTAAAAATCATCATGTTGGGTCTTTACAAAGGCCTTTTTTTAGTTATTGCTGCAGTTTACATTAGCCAATTGGCTGTGACTTTACTTCAGACCTCTTTGGACAAGCTCTTTATTGCTTTGTTCAAAAACATTCATTCAGCATTGATAATGAATTAGAATATCTGCTGTCCTCTTAGAGGTCTTCAAAATCCTGCTGCTGTATTACTTGAAATGCTTCAGTACTAAGCTTAAAAACGTTGCCTGTCTACAGCTTCCTCATCTACACCCTTGCTCATCTAGACTGTGGTTTGGCATCTGATATAACTAATTTGCTTCTCCCAGAAAAACCCTATCAGATTATTTTCTCTTTTCTGGCATTACTTAGATCTCTGGCATATTGCAAAACAACATCGGTCCCCTTTTCTTTTGCCAATAAGTGTGTGTGTGTGTGTGTGTGTGTGTGTGTGTGTGTTCATTATCTCAAATCTTTGTTAGTGTCCATGATGTGCAAAGGATCCTTTACATTTCTGGTCCTCCAGGAGCTAAGGGAATGGATAACAGAAAAATAAAGCTCCGTAATGCAACAAATCCAGAACCCCTCATGTTTCAGGATGATAATATGCACTTAGTTAAACACATCAGAAGACATCTAAGAAAAATTTTAATATTGAAAAGAAATGCATAAATGCACTGAAGTTTTTCAAAGAAGCAACTACCAGACATGACCTTGTACAACCCCAAGCAGCCATCCTGAGGATCCTGTCTCAAAACCTTACGGCAGCTGCTCCCTTTAAATCCCTTCTCCTATCCCAACTCCAGCAAAGGCTTACCATTTTCTTTCTCTGTCTCAACCCTTTTCCCTTAGTCTTACATCCCAAACTGAACGTTTTCTTTCAGAAGCAGTTCCAGTGGAGGGTATTATGCTGAGTGAAGTAAGTCAATCGGAGAAGGACAAACAGTGTATGTTCTCACTCATTTGGGGAATATGAATAATAGTGAAGGGGAATATAAGGGAAGGGAGAAGAAATGTGTGGGAGATATCAGAAAGGGACACAGAACATAAAGACTTCTAACTCTGGGAAATGAACTAGGGGTGGTGGAAGGGGAGGAGGGCGGGGGGTGGGGGTGAATGGGTGACGGGCACGGAGGGGACACTTGACGGGATGAGCACTGGGTGTTATTCTGTATGTTGGTAAATTGAACACCAATAAAAATTAATTTATAAAAAAAAAAAAGAAGCAGTTCCAGGCCCTTTCTAGCCATTTAAGGTTTTTTGAGCATCTACAGTTTTTATTATCTTAAGGAGTATGAGTCTAGGCCTGGAAGCCGTTCCACCAAATGGCCTTTGTCTTTACTAGTGGGTCCAGGGGAGTCAGCAAGACTGTTTATACTCAGATAACAATAACTCTGCCTCCGGTAGAGCTGTGATGTGACGCAACATGGGACAAGGGCCATATATACAAGTTGAAAGGCAGCAAAGGCATCTAGAGGAGTGCAAGGTTGTTTCTGTTTGCGAGGACTAGCCAAGTTTCATGGGCCAAGGGATGCAAATCAACTCAGAGTTGACACATGAGTCCTCCAGACAGCACCAAGCCTCCCTATCCACACATGGATAAATGGGAACTTGCCACACCAGGCCTCCCTTCCTGATACTCTCCAGCCTGGCCAAAGGCATTTCTATCCAGACATCTCAAGGCCTTTTGCTGGCCAGGGTTGTCATGTGTCAGCCACCATGGTTCTGGACAAAGCATAGAAGAGTTTCTGCTGATAGAACACACCGACCAGTGCAGAAAGAAGTTATCAGAGGAGGCTTAGGATGCCTCTCTCCCGAAAGGGCTGCTAGTCAGGTTGCCCCTTGACTGGCACACGGGAACTTGGATTTCAGGACAATTCCCGCCATTCCCAGAAGAGGTAAGAAAGCCTTACTGTGCTCAGTTGTGCAAACCATGTGATTAATGCTGAACACCTGCTTTCTTTCTGGGAGTCTGGAATTGTAGTGTTTATTAGGGAAAGTATGCCTGTGTGACCAGTCTCCAGCAAAACTCCTGGACACTGAGTCTCTAATGAGCTGTGCTGGAGAAATCAAGCACACCCTCTGCAATTCCACTGGAAGAGGACTCTTGGAAGTTTGTGCCTGGTTTCCCCCAGACTTCACCCTATGCATCATTTCTCTTTGCCAGTTTTCCTTTGAATCCTTTTGCTGTGATAAACTATAGTCCTGCAAGTCACAGAAACTAAGCATGGTTTTGAGACTCCTGACAATATGAGCCCTTCTACTTACACAGACCCATCTCCTTACACTCCTGCTCTTGCTCACTCTGCTCCTTTCTGTTCCTCAAACAATCCAAGTTCTCTCCTGCCCCCGGGGCCTTTGTATGTCCCAGCTCCTCTGTCTGGAATATTTTTCCCTATAACTTCTTATAGGTTATCCTTCAGGTCTCAGCTCATGTGTAACCTCCTCAGAGACCTTCCCTGGCCACCACCAATGGAATTATATTACCTCTCACATCATCTGTTTATTTACTGTCTACAAATCTAACCTATAATTCTCCTTTTTATTTACTTAAATAGAATTAGACTGCAGTACCACAGGGCATGGGACTTACCTATCTTATTCACAATATATTCTTAACATTTTTGACACAAAAAGAATTCAGTCTGTATCTGCTGATAGATTAAATGAACATGCCCCTGTATGCAGGTCAAAATATCCAAAGGGGTAGGAGAGGATTCTTAGAAATCCATTCCAGCATCTTCCATCCTATAGAAGTCCATTTTACATAAAATACTGGAATTCCTTTTAAAAAAAAAAAAAAAAGAAAAGAAAACGCCGCTGTTCTCTGTGTGTACATGTCCTTTCAGGGCTGATTTTAGCACTTCTGAAACACCACAAACATCTTAGTCCTTGTTCAAACAGCTGGCTATAATTGACCTGAGCTCATGTTTCACTGCGAGACACGGGAATTAGTAATGATCCTTCTTGCTATTGGTAAGAACTCAGATTCTGGCAAGGCAGTGCTCTGTCAACATATTTCAAAATGCTTACTCCCTAGTGACCTTCTCCTCCTTGCATGTATTTACAAGAGTTATAAAACAAACACCAAATGCTGAACAATAAAAGAAAAAAACCCTTTCAGTTTAGATTTCGAAAGTCAGTTGCTCTGCAAAAACACAAAATAATCCTGCCAAAATGTGAAACAAAGAGAAGTATGAATAACTTCCCTAATGACTTCCTCTCTTCCAGGAGCTCTTGGATCATTCAAAGGACCTGGCCTTATATTCTGAAAACTGTCATTCTTGACTTCTTTCAAGTGAAAAAAAAGCAGAGGTCAAAGACAAGAGGCCCTCTAAAATGCACTGCTATTTAAGGACTCCTTCATGATCAGAGTTCAAAGCCAGAAGACTTCAGTGAAGTACTCCAGCTCATCTGGCTCTCTAGGATCAGACTTTAAGTTTGCAAAGATAGAGGTGTGTCTTAGGTATAGAAAGAGACCCGACCTTGCAATACACTTGGCTGTCAGAGACAAGATGAAATCTGCTAGATGCAATGTCCGTTGTCTTTGGCCTTGACCTGAGCCATGCTAACCTTTCAAAGTCATATGTCCTACCATTTTCCAACATGTACCTTAAGCTCCCATCATATTGAAATTTTCACAATTACTCAGGCCAAGCTCTTTTACATTTCTGAGTCTTTGTACATAGCCTTCCTCTACGTCAATGTATTTCTCCTTCCTTTTCTACCTTGAGGAAAACTATGCGTTCTCCAAGAAACTGATGAGGTGCCACTCTCTTGTGAAGCCTTCCCAAATTTCCCAGTTAGTGGCTCCCTCCTCTGTGTTCCTATTGCCATTTGGGGAAACCTTGATGATAGCACTTCGGATATTATATTTTAAATTTGTGTGTGTGTGTGTGTGTGTGTGCATCTTTCTCCCCTCAGCCAGGCTGTGAGTTCTTTGTAGGCAGCCACCTTCATTCATCTTTGCATCTTTATTGTTTGGTAGCTTCCTAAGTGCTGATTAACTAGCTGAAGAATCATAATTGAGACTTCGGGTGTTTGACTCCAAGTACTAGCCTGGGGATTGTTAAGATAAAACTGAATGTAAAATGCTGTAATGTGTTGGAGATTTCCATTTACAGCATTCTAAAAGGTTTGATACAAAAAAAAATTAAGGAATTTTATATACCAAAGAAAGCGTCAATTATGTCCTGTCTTCCTTTAAATATAGACAGGCTGCATATCAAAATTTTCTTCCCTTTTAAGGGTCTTGGAGCCTATACTCTATAATTTTGTTGGTGTTTTATAGAGCCCAACCCCCACCCCACTTCATCCTGGCTACGTGTTCGGGAAGGTCTTTACACACCAAGGGAATGTTAATACCCAAGCTTTATGGAAGATTGGCTGAGGAAAAATTAACTCATGAAGCCCAGGACCATAGGAAAAGAATTATGGTATGTGTGGCTGTTTATCTCCAGGAAGATTTACTATCTCACCTGAAGAGACACGCTGCCGTGTGACAGGAATTTATTTACAGCTCAAGCCTGACCTTTTTCCATGTTGAGGGAGATTGCATTACTGGGTAGCTTGGGGATTTATTGTCTCTGTTTAGCGGCGCTGACATTTCCTGACTATTGGCTGCAG